CTATTTTTTTCCCCTCCCACCACTTCTTTCTTTCCTTTTCCTCCTGTCCTCTTCTCCTACGCCAGTAATTAACTCAAAAATGCTAGCACCGTGGAACACCAGAAGCGTAACGGCACCGTGGAGTCCGCGCATTTTTAATTTCTTCTTCTCCTTTCCTTTTTCATCGCGCGCTGCATTTCTTTACGCATGCGTCGCACTGCGATGAATTTTCCGCAACTAGAAAGACCCATTTTATCAATTTTCCTTTGGACCAAATCTCGTACCCTACAATATATTGGCCAATGCTACTACGAAACTGGTTTTTAAGCTATTCAAAATTGTGCCATATAAAAGTAAGTGCAATTATTGATACAAATATGAAGACAGCGTTATGTAACGTAAGAATATAAACGGGAAGTCATCCAGAGTCAATAGAATAATAAGAATATGCAATTTATTAATTAGCCATTTATTAATTTGTCATTTATTAATTAACCATTTAAGAAGTTTCTTGAAACGGTAGGTAATGACGATATTCAAAAATTTCCAATGCTATATAATTTATTAATTAGCCTTTTAAATAAGAAATTTCATAAAACTATAAATAATAACGATATTTAAAAATTTCCGATGATGTATATTTTATTAATTACCTCTTTGAATTAGAAGTTTCATAAAACGGTAACTAATGTCGATATTCAAAAATTTCCAGTCATGTATAATTTATTAATTAGCCATTTAAATAAGAAATTTCATAAAACGGTAAATAATGTCGATATTTAAAAATTTCCAGTGATGTATAATCCAGTAATTAGCTCTTTAAGTAAGAAATTTCATAAAACTATAACTAATGACGATATTCAAAAATTTCCAGTCATGTATAATTTATTAATTAGCTCTTTAAATAAGAAGTTTCATAAAACGGTGACTAATGACAATATTTAAATATTTCCAATGCTATATAATTTATTAATTAGTCATTTAAATAAGAAATTTCATAAAACGGTGAGTAATGACAATATCTGAAAATTCCAAATGATATATAATTTATTAATTATCCATTTAAATAAGAAATTTCATAAAATGGTAACTAATGTCGATATTTAAAAAATTCCAGTGATGTATAATTCATTAATTAGCTCTTTAAATAAGAAGTTTCATAAAATGTTAATTAATGACGAGATTTAAAAATTTTCAATGAAGTATAATTCAGTAATTAGTTCTTTAAATAAGAAGTTTCATGAATTGGTAACTAATGTCGATATTCAAAAATTGCCAATGTTGTATAATGTAATCCAGTAATTAACTCTTTAAATAAAAAGTTTCAAAAAACGGTAACTAATGTCGTCGTTTAAAAATCTCCAATAATGTATAATTTATTAATTAGCTCTTTGTATAAGAAGTTTCATGAAATGGTAACGAATAACGATATTTAAAAATTTCCAACGAAGTATAATTCTGTAATTAGATCTTTATATAAAAAGTTTCATGAAACAGTGACAAATGACGATATTCAAAAATTTCCACCATTGTTTGTTGCAATTGTAGCTATATATTAAATACACGATACGTACACAAGAATTGTATTTTGGCGAATTTTTGGCAAACGGAGCTGGAGACGCGTCGTAAACCTGATGTTACGTTAATTCGATAATGAGTCTGAGTGAATACCACGTTTTGCAACCTGTCAAAGAATCGTCGACATGGTTCCACGCTTGAGGAGAGGAACAGGTAGTAATTATCTAGCCTTTGCTGGGTCTATGGCATTAATAAAGCACAGAGTGAACGGGGTAATTTCTAATCAACGAACGACGGACGTTGGGAAAACTCGCAGACTGACAAACGTGCGGGAAATTCTTTTGAAAAGCGAGAGTTTCAACGTGTGATGCTATGCGTACACGCTGGATAATTATAATGCTTCTTGTTTCGCTTTTTATCGCGTCGGTATCGTTTGATACATTCGTTCCACCAGTTGTTTGTCTTCTCCGCTTTGGCCATTGATCCATCATCGGTCACGTGATCGTGGTTTAATCAAATAGAAAAGGAAAATTTCGAGTGTCCAGTTTGAGGTTGAAGAGATCAATCGATATTTAACCCCTTGCTCTGGGACGATGAGAATTTTTCGACTCGATCGATTAGCGAGCCTAACACGCTTTTGCGATGGAAAGTTTCTTGAAACGGAAGATTCTGTTTCGAATGGAATTATAAATATTCGGAAATTTATTTGCACGGTGGCTTTGCCCTATTTTCCATTTTCATCGACGAAGATGAAACTAAATAATCACCATGGATTATCCCCGTTCTCCATAATGGCACCGGTGGAGTGCAAAAGATTAAATGGAATTATAATGTTTGTTTTATCATTATTTTTTTTCAATCGTTGTTTCCATAAATATTTTTCGCGTTATTTTATTCGTACTTTTAATATTTTAAACATCGATTCGAGAAATCGATTTAATACCGGCTTAATATCGAAACGGAACACGCTTCTGCGATGAAACATTTATTCAGACAGAAGTTATCTGTTTTATCTGTACTTATCTTTACTTATCTGTTTACTTTGCCTCCTATACTTATCTGTTTTGAAAGCAAAAGGTAATACTCGATATTGCTTCGTTATTTTTATAATAATTTTTTAGCTCAATATCGCTCGGAAGAATTTAATATAGATTTAAATCCGGCTCGTCCGACAATTCCTCGAGGTAAATGGCTCGATAAGGCAGAATAAGTTCGAGATCAATATTCGCGATGAACATTTGTTATTTAATTGGTGGTTGCCAGTAGATTAATCGCGGTTGATGACGGTTCTGGTAGCGATCGTGTATAATGGCTATCCGATAGGTCGAAAGTTTGGCGTATCAATCTGTCTTAACCACATGTTCGACTCGGTTAGGCTAATGATTCATCTCCATCTCGATCATCGGTCCATAAGTATTTCTCGTAATTTCCAGTGCAATAGATCAGGCACGAGGCAGCGGGAAGTTAGAAAGCTACTAAAAGTTCTAATCACTGGTCGAAATTTTTATTCATTTTCATATTTTCCCATTGAACTTTATTAAGAAATATGTATTGCATTCAGGGTATAGAATTGAAAGGAATTTACAGGACGCGTTCCCTCTTCTTCATTAATCCTTTGCATTCTGAGAATTTCTTAATTTGATAAAGCAGCAAATAATTCAAAGCAATTCATTTCGTAAAGCAAGAATTATGAATATTCGCGAATTTATTACGTTATTGGTACATATTATTTACGAGATTAATTAAATATTCTAATTAATTTATATTTGTTTATCTATAATTCTACATCGATTTCAAAGTACTAAGAGTAAAGCACAGTGTTATTTGCATTTGTTATAAGTAATTATATATGTTATATCCAATTATAATTAAATATTGATTGGATTAAATTATAGTTAGATTATAATTAGATATAAAATTATGTCATATCTATTATATCTAACTTAATACGTTATCTAATTTTATTTATAAGATATATATTAAAAATTACAATTAAACCTAGCAATATTGAAATAAATTTATTATTTATTTACAATTCTCTATTTCCATAGTGGAATGCAAAAGACTTTGTCCATTTAATCCTAAGACGACGTTTACGAATTTCGAATCCCAACTAGCCAGGCGGAAACGAAGGCAATCCCCACTCTGTTTTCAAAACAATACCCTATTGGCCATATCGCTCCTATTCGTCCCATCTTCAGTCTCTGCTTGACCTTTGTGTCGCGCGAACGTGAACCGAATAGACGAGGTCCAAGCGCCTTAACACTGGAACTACCAACCTGTAACGTATACCTAAACCAACTATAAGCAACATAACATTGACGCAGTCTCAATTAGCAAAAATTGGAAATACGATATAGCCAATATTAAATTTAAATCAATATAACCACCTAATCAACGTTTAAACAAAATAATCCTATTTGTTAATTTTTCCGCGACTTTGTCCTAATATTTATTATCAGAAATATCATTAACCGTATATCAGAAAACAAAAGTCCTACCTTTCTTCCACGAAGTAGCTTCGAGTGCAAATGGTTAATAGTTGCAGTGTTAACCTCATCCGTGTAGCGTCACAATTAGCAGCCTATCCCATCACCAAGGTAAGCACCTCTCGACGACCAATGGAACGAAACCCTGAACCCTCGAACCCATCGATTTATCGCGGGGAAAGTCGATAATCGTGTCCCAAATTTCGCTCCGTGCTTGGCCAACGTTCACCACCCGCCCGACTTGACCCGATCCGATCCAGTGCAGATCCGCGAAATGGAAAATTTCGCGAATCACTCCGGTCAGCAACTCATACGCGTATCAAGAGACCTCGAAGTTCCGCCGGAATCCGTGACACGTGGTCTCGTTAACTCGTTGCCTGTCGACGCGAAATTATAAACAGAAGCTGTCACTGCGAGAGAACAAAAGCTGAAGAATGGCCAGGAGGGATTGCGAGGCAAAGAGTGGATCTAGGTTACGTAAGCTCGAGACCACGTGTCACGAGAGTGCAATAGGCTCTGCATCTCTTTATTCCTTTCGTTGCATCTCGTGGGCCGGAGCTTCGTTAACCTTGCCAGCGATGGCGACAACTGGCAACAGGCGGTTTCGCCTGCTGCTTCGTTAGAGGCAGGTATGGATGAATGCACGGAATAATTGAGAGGGTGGGTCTTTAATGCGAATTCTTAATTACGCTTTTCTGCCCGAGCAGCACACGCGTGCACGCTCGTGTCCGTGCGCTCGCGCAGCACGGTGTTCGAATTGAAAAGACGGAAGGCCTGGTTTCTTGGCCGGGGCTGCACGTCTTCCGGGTCTCGACACCTCCGAAGGATATTTATATAACCCAATTTTCGAAGCGTTCCGCGATGGTAAATAGCAGAGCCGGGGCTGTTCCTTTCATCCCCTGTTGTTCGAAAATATTTGCCCGGACAAACACGACCAGACGGTTTCCCATTAACCGGTGTACAGAGAATGAAGGGGAAAAAAGTGCAACTGACTCTTTCTTTCTTTTCTTTCAGCCCGAGAGCTTACGGCGCGCTGCAGTGGGAATTTTAAACTGCTGCGCGGCTGCCCGTTCGACTGGGCCGGACTTTAGAGCTGGAGAATATACATGGTGAAAGTTTTGGTGAGTGATCATTGAATTCTCGTTGTAATCCTTTCTTTTTCCGAGCACATATAGGGTGTTTCTTCGGGGGTTGGCGAATACAGAGTCTTGCGACAACTTTTAACCCTTTGCACTCGAGAGGCGCCCTTCAGTCGCCATTTGATCAAATTTCGAAGCTCGATGTTAATTAATATATCAAATTTAAAATAATGTGACAGTGTGCGAGGTATCGAAATTAAATAATTATTATACGATTCGTTATTTACTGCTCAAGAAATATTATCAGCTTGATAGCAGGAAATTTTTTAACTGGTATCCCTCTTTAGCCAAAAACTCGCCGAGTGCAGAGGGTTAAAACATCTAGAACGATAGGGGATGGTAAATATAAATTATTGGAATCGCTGTTTGATAGATTGCAATATTTTTCATAATAAAAATTTCGGTTTACGTTCCCGTTACGTTATAACAGTGAAAAATAGATTTCAGACCTAAAATTCTGATATTTAGATAGATCTTATTAACACTTCGACTACTCCGCATTTCTTAAATGGCAGACCTAGAGGACCACGATAAAATTTCCACCATTCTTACGATACAATAATGAATTATCAAACAATATGGCAAAACAAAAATTATTAATATCTTCTACTCATAGTTCTCTATTTATTTACGTTGTTCAAATATTCAAAAATTGATTAGAAGGAAACAAATATAAATTAAAAAAATTAGTATCGCTGAACACTGGTGACTACCATGACAGTCAGAACGTGTTAAAGCTATGTATAATCGCGTAAAAGGAGGGCGAGATTTATTTTCCAATTCGTGGAAAGGAATAATTGGCTAGTAAACATTAATTGGTATACGCAATCTTCTACCCCTTTGTCCATTCCAACAAAAGTAATTAACACATTGTGTACCGCATAGGAATCTCTAAGACATACGTCAGGGACTGCAAGACAGTTTTGACCAAATAATGTGTTGACATCTAAGGTCCATAACAGATAGCGCATGAAAAACGAGAAAAATTGTGAACGGTCCTTAATCCATTTGCATCATTAAGCGGAATAATCCGCACGCGATAACTGTTGCTTACCTATTTTCAATTTATCTACTGTAAAGCTATGTGGGAAAATGAACATTTATATTGTAACATCATATAGAATGATTTTATTTAAAAATATATCGAATTTTTGGACGAAATGTACATAAAAATTTGTTTGTTATACTTAATTTCAACCAAAAGCTTGATAAAATCTGTTTAGAGGATGCAAATGGGTTAACAGATAGCACGTAAAACACGAGAAAACTCGCGAACGATACGCAATGCGTTAATTACTTTCTTTGTAGTAGAAAGGGGTACAAAATTACGTATACCCACGTTTGAGCTGAAATAAATTAGAAATTAATTTCCAAGAAAGGGCAATAAAATATAGGATATCTTTCCCTTCTGTCATACAAATATCTCATGTAATATTACTCTGGAGAACTTGAAGAAATACTCGATGTAACTGTATACGTGGAAAAATGATCGACACCCCATTAAATGGTACTGAAACATACCCACGTTTGAGCTGAAATAAATTAGAAATTAATTTCCAAGAAAGGGCAATAAAATATAGGATATCTTTCCCTTCTGTCATACAAATATCTCATGTAATATTACTCTGGAGAACTTGAAGAAATACTCGATGTAACTGTATACGTGGAAAAATGATCGACACCCCATTAAATGGTACTGAAACATACCCACGTTTGAGCTGAAATAAATTAGAAATTAATTTCCAAGAAAGGGCAATAAAATATAGGATATCTTTCCCTTCTGTCATACAAATATCTCATGTAATATTACTCTGGAGAACTTGAAGAAATACTCGATGTAACTGTATACGTGGAAAAATGATCGACACCCCATTAAATGGTACTGAAACATACCCACGTTTGAGCTGAAATAAATTAGAAATTAATTTCCAAGAAAGGGCAATAAAATATAGGATATCTTTCCCTTCTGTCATACAAATATCTCATGTAATATTACTCTGGAGAACTTGAAGAAATACTCGATGTAACTGTATACGTGGAAAAATGATCGACACCCCATTAAATGGTACTGAAACATACCCACGTTTGAGCTGAAATAAATTAGAAATTAATTTCCAAGAAAGGGCAATAAAATATAGGATATCTTTCCCTTCTGTCATACAAATATCTCATGTAATATTACTCTGGAGAACTTGAAGAAATACTCGATGTAACTGTATACGTGGAAAAATGATCGACACCCCATTAAATGGTACTGAAACATACCCACGTTTGAGCTGAAATAAATTAGAAATTAATTTCCAAGAAAGGGCAATAAAATATAGGATATCTTTCCCTTCTGTCATACAAATATCTCATGTAATATTACTCTGGAGAACTTGAAGAAATACTCGATGTAACTGTATACGTGGAAAAATGATCGACACCCCATTAAATGGTACTGAAACATACCCACGTTTGAGCTGAAATAAATTAGAAATTAATTTCCAAGAAAGGGCAATAAAATATAGGATATCTTTCCCTTCTGTCATACAAATATCTCATGTAATATTACTCTGGAGAACTTGAAGAAATACTCGATGTAACTGTATACGTGGAAAAATGATCGACACCCCATTAAATGGTACTGAAACATACCCACGTTTGAGCTGAAATAAATTAGAAATTAATTTCCAAGAAAGGGCAATAAAATATAGGATATCTTTCCCTTCTGTCATACAAATATCTCATGTAATATTACTCTGGAGAACTTGAAGAAATACTCGATGTAACTGTATACGTGGAAAAATGATCGACACCCCATTAAATGGTACTGAAACATACCCACGTTTGAGCTGAAATAAATTAGAAATTAATTTCCAAGAAAGGGCAATAAAATATAGGATATCTTTCCCTTCTGTCATACAAATATCTCATGTAATATTACTCTGGAGAACTTGAAGAAATACTCGATGTAACTGTATACGTGGAAAAATGATCGACACCCCATTAAATGGTACTGAAACATACCCACGTTTGAGCTGAAATAAATTAGAAATTAATTTCCAAGAAAGGGCAATAAAATATAGGATATCTTTCCCTTCTGTCATACAAATATCTCATGTAATATTACTCTGGAGAACTTGAAGAAATACTCGATGTAACTGTATACGTGGAAAAATGATCGACACCCCATTAAATGGTACTGAAACATACCCACGTTTGAGCTGAAATAAATTAGAAATTAATTTCCAAGAAAGGGCAATAAAATATAGGATATCTTTCCCTTCTGTCATACAAATATCTCATGTAATATTACTCTGGAGAACTTGAAGAAATACTCGATGTAACTGTATACGTGGAAAAATGATCGACACCCCATTAAATGGTACTGAAACATACCCACGTTTGAGCTGAAATAAATTAGAAATTAATTTCCAAGAAAGGGCAATAAAATATAGGATATCTTTCCCTTCTGTCATACAAATATCTCATGTAATATTACTCTGGAGAACTTGAAGAAATACTCGATGTAACTGTATACGTGGAAAAATGATCGACACCCCATTAAATGGTACTGAAACATACCCACGTTTGAGCTGAAATAAATTAGAAATTAATTTCCAAGAAAGGGCAATAAAATATAGGATATCTTTCCCTTCTGTCATACAAATATCTCCTGTAATATTACTCTGGGGAACTTGAAGAAATACTCGATGTAACTGTATACGTGGAAAAATGATCGACACCCCATTAAATGGTACTGAAACATACCCACGTTTGAGCTGAAATAAATTAGAAATTAATTTCCAAGAAAGGGCAATAAAATATAGGATATCTTTCCCTTCTGTCATACAAATATCTCATGTAATATTACTCTGGAGAACTTGAAGAAATACTCGATGTAACTGTATACGTGGAAAAATGATCGACACCCCATTAAATGGTACTGAAACATACCCACGTTTGAGCTGAAATAAATTAGAAATTAATTTCCAAGAAAGGGCAGTAAAATAGAGGATATCCTTCTCTTCCATCATACAAATATCTCGCGCGATATTACTCTGGAGAACTTGAAGAAATACTCGATGTAACCGTACACGTTAAACTCTTGCGCGAGATCTCTGCACCGCAACAAATGCCTCGTCGTTACCCATACACGGATTCTCACTTGGGGAAAGTGTTAATTATACCATCGATTTCCGATAACTTCATCATCCCTCGGTTAATTCGCGATAACTTTTCTCGATCCTGTTCCAAGACATCTCTACCGCTTTCTCGATATACCGGAGGCCCGGTTATCAGCTTAGAATCCCCGGTGACGTCGGGGATGGGCAAGAAAAATAATATCGCGAACTCCACTGCGAGGGTTCGAATAACCCTGCACGCCCGCGTGAATCGGTCCGGGGAAGCTAACCCCGTCGACGAAAGGAAACGAAATTCTAGCCTGGAAAAATCCAGCGTGTTCCGGCCGTGAATCGAGTTATCGTTAGTCCGAGGTAATGGCTATTCGTCAGCTAGCGGAATTGCTTCTCGAAATGGAGTGGTTGGTTATAACGCGCTATATCGGCTGTAGCTAGACGCTATTTGAAAGTCAAATACTTGCGTGGAAGACGAAAGGGGTGGGTCGGTTACACGGCGCCGTTTCAACGCCGGGACAGGGTGAAAAGGGGCGAAGGAAGAACCCCCGCGAGATCTCGAGACATTTCGTAGCGTCGCAGATATCTACTGCTCCTACGTAGACCGCAGACTTCATCCGATTAACGACGCTGGCTCCTGTAATGCTAGCATCCTGTCAAATTTCCTGTACCCGACCTGATTTAATTTCGATCCATCTATCGAGCTCCTTTGACATTTTTCAACTGGTCACCCTTTTGTTTCTTCTCCCATTATTTTTTCGAATATTCGTCTACTTTGGATGCCTATTATTTATCAGATTCGCTCGTAGCGTTAGGTATAGTAGTCTGCTTCTGTTGGAAAGGTGAGTTCAGTTGTGGATAAAA